GAAGGTCACTGTGTGTGTGGTATTAATACTGTCAAGTTAAAAGTGAATGTGTGTTGCTAGCCACTAGTACAGTTGGCGCACTGTTGTACGTGCTAGACCACAAAATTGTGATGTCTGCTTTAATGATGTTTTTTTCCAAAATATTCCTGTTTCGCTATTTTGATTAAATTCAAAGAATAGTTTAACATCCTAGGTTTGCCTTTCCCCCTATTTTCCCATCTCCTTACTAGGCTGAATTACCTCCAGCCTGGTGACAGAGGCAGAACATGGTTGTGTTAAATGGTTCCCTAAGTGTTTTCTTATTAAACCATCCACCAATGTTAAGTTAAAGAACTACATGCGAAAGATCATTTGAAAAGAATTTGAGCGTCTGTATCTCTGGAATTCAGAGCATTTTGCCATTTTCTTGTATATCATTGGGGAAAGATTTGACATTAACAAACTGATTAGTAGAAGCAGGGGCACAGCCAGACGACATTAACCATTGTGTTGCTTGGTTAATCCTTAGATCATCTACTGTGCTCACAACATATTTTCATTAGTGAAGGTGTTGTTTCGTGGAACATTTTATACTATCTGGCCTCATGCTGTATCATAAGTGGCATACATATTCCTAAGTAGACTGGATGTATGGGAGTCATAGTTACCAAGCCCAACCTACCTAACATAGAGTCTAATGTTAAGCTTTCCAATTTATGGTGATTCAAGCATTAACATATCTCATTGTTAAGTAACGTTAAAATACAAAAGTTTAAGGATGTGAAAGGACAACTGTGAAACAAAATAATGCCAAAAGACTAATTTTCATTACGTGTTTGTAGTATTATGTGCAAGGCTGAATTCTTTGTAACTGTGTTTTCCTTCCCACTTAAAAAAAGGCTGTGACTCTTTAAATCTGTAAATCTGGAACATGATCTAGAAATGCTGTCTTCTTCTCTGGGAGTGAGCGTATTTAAAATGGACTGAGACACAGAACAAAACGGTGTCCTGTGTTCACATGAATCAAAATTCTTCTTTTGTTTCGGAAACAGTTTATGAGCAAATCCAAGGCAAAGAGAGAGAGATCTCTGACTTGTTTTAAGAATCTGCATATCAACTGGTATGTCGGGTTTATAAGTGTCAATGAGGCTAATCTCCCCTCAAACATGGGACATATTTGACATATTATAAATAAATAAAAAGGCTCTCAACTTTGTTTTAAGTGGGGTTTCACTCAAGAAATAGTGAGAATATAAAAAGTCACTGGTGTCTCTGTTTGGCAACTGGCATCGAGGAAAGGTTTAAAAAGCCTGTAGAATTAGAATTAATGCAATTTGTAAAACAGCCACTACTGTGCAGTGGTTTATCTTTAAAGGAGTGTTCATCACCTTATTTGCATTTTCCTTCAATATTTCCATTAGCAGGAATTTTTAAAAAGTTTTTTTAGATACTAGGCTTTAGCTGGAAAATGTGCTCAGCATTTCCTTGCAGAAAATAAACGTTTGCAAGGTGGAAAGAATAATGCGAGTTTTCCGTGTAAAGAAAACTATAGCGAATCACCAGGACGTTGTGAGGGAAGAAAAGATCTAATGAACTCATTATGCAGTCACTAACAGTCACTGCTGAGTTTGTGTGGTGGTCTGATTGTTCAGTCTTTGTGGCACTGGCACAGTCTGAAGGTGTGTGCGTGTGTGTGGTAGTTTTGTGTGTGTAAGCATCCTGGTCTCTTTGTGCGCCAGTCTGGCTGTTGGCAGGGCTGTTTGATTTTTTGGCAGGTGGATCACAGCTTCTTGCAGCCCAGCTGAAGCAGTGGATGCTGTCCAGCGAGAGAGTGGAAGAGAGACATAAGCAGGCAGGGAGGGAATGCAAAAAGAGAAGAAGACGCTGATACTCCAATTGGAGGAAGCAGAATTAAGAAAAACTAGATAGAAGATGAGGAGACAAAGGGAGCACAAATCTAATGTCTTTTTAAAATGTACCTCTGTGAAATTTTAAAGCTTTTGCAGGGCCTCCCCAGTAATCATCACTGTTATTGTATGTCTATCTGTATATTCCTGCAGATGAAGCTAGAGAAGTGGGTTTGTACTTTTTCAGTGCTCCGTTTTTGTTTTACCATACTAATACATGCCTGAATTAAATGTAACATGCTTTGCTGTGAACCAGTCAGGAGATTACACTGGATTGGGCTGTGTGTAAATCTTTGGGGAGGGTTATTACACTGTGCATGAGCTTTTTTTTTAATTCTCTGTAAAAATAGGCCTTGGCCCAGGTTTAGATTTCAAACAAACATATATATACACACACACACCGATTTAACTAATTCCCTTGAGACATAGTAGGGAAACAGGGAGAAAGGATGGAAGCAATGTATGTACAGATACCAAGATTTGAGAAGTTCTCTTTCCATTTTCACCTTTCTTTGACAAACACACACACTTTCTCTTGCACACAAGGCTATCTGCGTACTGTGTCAGCAAACAGGAAACCAAAACGTATACATTATTGATGAGTCCAGTCATTGATTACACGTGATAAGTGGTATTGTCAATAGATGTTAGGAGAGAAGAAAAAGTGTTAAAGTGTGGGTTTATATATGCACGCATTTTCCCGGTGGACTGAAGAATTCCTTCAGAATATGTAATGACCTTAGTATCCCTTCAGCTCACTACATAGTGCCTGGCTATGCTTGCAGGTAATGAGAAGATTTCCAGAGTATGCAGAATTTCCAAAAACTCACATCCTCACTTAACTCAGAGATACAGATTGGTTGGTTTTGTTCCCTAAGGTTTAAACATTTTTTCATGCCTTCGTGGAAATAGAAAAGGCATTGTGGAATTTCATGTTCAGTTACAAGTGTGTATTATTAACAGTAATAGCCAGACCCTCATTTTCTATTGGGAGTAAGATTATAAGATCAATACCACTCTCATGCTTATGTGTTGAAACATTACAACGTGTTCAAACTGTAAACCTAATAACATCCTTATTCTGTGACGAATCACACATAAGCGCTGGAGATAATATTGATCATTCTATCATGTCTATAAATGCATCTCAGGGCCTCAAAGTAGCTCAATAGCTCATCTGCTTTTTTTTCTTACGGAGTCAGGGATCTTGACGGGCCTGTGCAGAAAAAGAAGCAACCATTTGGGAGTTATCAAAAGTGAGCAGTCACTGCTTTCAAGTGGGAGTCTGTACCCCTAGGACTCGTAGGACAAATTTTTTATTGGAACATTTTAAATTAGAATTTCAGTAAATACAGTAACATGACTTCATGTGTCTGAAAATATAATTGATCTCTATTGGTTTTGTTGTCCGTGTGTGTTTTGTTTTTATAATTTGCGTAAAGTGGTCCTTTGAAATGACCATAAGTATTACATTATAGTGTATCATAATTTGCTACTTTATGTGAAACAGTCAATTATGTGAACCTTTTCAATAGGTTACTTTTATCACTGCACTGAGATAATTGTGTTTGAAAAGATTATGTGCGTGTCTCTCCACTGAGTCCTGAAATAATATACCATTACACTGTTATTTCAGATTTCAGTTTGCCACTGAAACACTCAAAAGTAGTCTAAATGGTATTTAGTTCCTATGAATACAAGCATAAGCTGGAAGACTACTCTGACCTTTTGCTGCACAGAACATTTCCTTCGCTGTTTCATCCCTCTCATTTAATTTTTCTGTCTCTCTAAGCTCTGCTCTGCTTTATTTTACCATCCGTATGATTTTGATGCTGGATGTTGCGCGCACTTATATATGTACATATATACACACTTACACTGACACAGCATGATTGTCCTTCCTGCTGTCACTGTTTGCAGAGCTGAGCTGAGGAGAAGCTCTGGGTGTCAGGTAGAGATGATGAGCAGCATGACTGCAAGAAGTGAAAGAAAAGTATATGTCTACCAGCAGCTTGAGTGCAAACACTTTATAACCTCTGCCGTGAAATGATTTGTATCATTTGCATTCAGAAGAGGAAACATTACAGACCTATTAGGTCACCGGTCTAACTTTATAAAGATTTTGAGTGAATATGAAAGTGCTCTGCTTTAAAGTGATAGTTTTAGTTTAAAACGCATCAGTCGGCAACATGAGTGATCTTAGACCTGTGAATTGTATATAATTGGTCAAACATTTCTATGTTATAACCTAGAAGAGTCACAATCTGAGTGAGTCAGAGACAGGAGGAAGAAAGAGAAAGGCAGCAGTCTCTGCAGATGGATGCTGATTAAATATTGATGGTCAGCAGTGTTGAAGGCTTGATTAGGACCCGGGCAAGCCAAGCCTGAGCCATCCTTCACACCTACACATGCAATAACAAGTGACACACACCTTCAGGTGGAGAAATCCGTCCCAGAATTTGAGCAGTTTGCCATTATGCCTGTTGAAGGTCATCCTGTCATTCCTTCTCCCCATTTTTCATTCTCACCTCTCTACAACCTCCGTCCACTTCCTGTGCTCAAATGGAGATCATCCTCTCTCAGACTAACACGTACAATCATTCTACTATTGCACTGTGTCCTTAATTGCAGTCTCCTGCTGTAGCTCCCCCCCAAAAAAGAAAAAAAAAATGCTAACCATAACAAAACAAAGTAAAAAACGATAATTCTCAAGCTTTGGGAATATAAGAGGATGAGGTACGGTCAATAAGATGTTTAAGTCGACCATCACCTTAAATTCAAAGCTCAAAGTTAACAGTCTCCCCGCATGAGATTTTTTCCACCAGTTCATGTTGATTCCACACTGACCTTGAAGCTGGAGTTACAGGTTTAGCAACTCTAGTAATTTCATTCTTGCTGTACTCCAACACAACAAAACACACCCGTGTATAAAACATGAACACAGCGAGGGAACCCTTAAGTGGAAATTTCATACAATATGAAGTAACACAATATACTCCAGACACAACACTCTGTATTTGTGGGGGGGAAATGAGCATTGAGACAAGAAACGAAATAGCTTAAAAACAATGTAAGCTGGTCTTGACGTGTTTGTTCTTTCCCGTGTGTTTGCAGTTACTCTGCTGGACTCCATGTCTGCTTTGGCCGACCTCGGCTGGGAGGCTTACCCAAACGAAGGGGTGAGTATCTGAAGAAAAGCACATACTGCACACACGTCCATCACCCTCTTTTTGGGCTAGATCTGGCACGGTGAATATGAAGCTGATCACAACTAGCACGTTGTGTTCTTGTCTTGAGGAATGGGAAGCGGTTAGCAGCTTTGGAGTGTGTGTTTTTTTAAAAGCGCTAAGTTCTTCAGCGCTCCTTGCTAAATCGGGAGTCTGTAGGGGGAATTTGCAAATTATTTCTGCTGTGCTGAGAACATGGTGGCACTGAAACCCTCTGTTCATAACGGTTTGTGGTCTTTGGGATGGATTTAAGGGACCCGTTGGAGGCGTAGATATTCTTATGTAAGATGAGATGGCGTATACAAGTCAATGGTATTTGCATGTGTACTTGTGAGGGGTGAGGGGTGTTGCGTAACAAGCCTTTTTCAGGTACGGGGAGCAAGGGAGTCTGGAGTGCAGCCACCATGAATCAGAAAATGACAGGATAGAAGTGAGGGTAGGAAGAAGGGGAGTGCATAGAGAGGAAGAGTGACAAAGTGTATTCAGTAGAACAGGATCTGTATGTCACCATAGTGCTGGCGCTTTCGAATAGCACTGAATTCATTCTATTTCCTCTAGAGTCACACTTCTTTCTTTATTCTATCAGCACTATTCAGCATCAGTGTGCTAAATTGCAGGATGCCACACGTGGTTTCATGCTTTTTGTAGCAGAGAGGCAGCTGAAGTAAGCGAAGCTAAGGAAGGTTGTTTTCTCCTGTAATCAAGAGCATCAAGTTCAACCTCATGAAACTCTCCAATTGTTTGCTCATATGTTTATGTTTCTTTCACTGAAGTTCTCATATAAGAATATGTTCTGTGTGTGGCCGAGGAAAGACGAGTATCTATGTCATGTTTGTTAAAAAATGCAGTTTATGGATGCTGTTTAGCTCAACTGCTGTGCATAGCCTTGATTTGCTTGACTCAGGAAGCCTGGGTTCTGAGTCTTGGCCTAGGGCCCTTGTACTGCATGTCAAACCTGTTTTCTATCCATCTATTATCAAATAAAGGTCACAAGATCCCAAGAAACTGTTTAAAAAAAGGTAATGTTGGGGAGGGCAGGGAAGGTTTACATCTGTTGTTAGTTTACCGACAAAAGAATCTGTTACTGGGAAAGAACTATATAGTTATGAACAGTCAACAGTGTGGATCTGACATACACTCCCCGACTGTTAAAGAAGATAAACAGAGAACTAGCTTTTTGAGGGCCTACAGCATGTAAAAACATCAACTAATGCGTTGATAAAATCATTGTCAGCAAAACGTTTTAACTTGTAGTTATACTTTCATTTGACCGAAAAAAGATCCAGATTCCTGGATTATAGATATTTTTAGCCCAGTAGTTTATGAATGTAGGCAAAAAGAAAAACAACTATTTTCTAACCTCTGTGGAAGAAGAGGCAACACTTTTCTGTTAAGCCTCCACACAGTCAAACAAAATGACTGACCAAAACAAACACATCTAATTTTTACATATCACTTTTGAGTCAAAACCTTCACACATTCTTGCCAGTGATTTGATGTGGCCTGCGGATCCAAAAGGATTTTTTATGTTTGTTGTTTTGTATGTTTGTGAGGGGATGCTTTGGTCCACTTTAAAGCACTAGAGCTAAGCTAGGCCACTAACTTCATGTTGAGTCTTTACATAGAGGATCGGCTCATGCTTTTATTGTAAAATACATATTAACTGATGCATCTGATACGGGGTTAGAAGGGCCTCTGATCTGTGATGCTAGTTGCAGAAACCTGTATTGAGAAAAAGTCCCTCCGTTTCCACAGAAACAGTTCAGCCAAGTATTTAAATCTGTTGGGGAAACAAAAATCATCAAAAAAGGTTAAAATGAGATCTGGCCCTGTATAACTAACCTCCTGTTGCCAAAGAATGAATGTATCTTTGTGATATAAACATAAAATGCACCCCTAATTTTAAAAAAAGAAAAAAAGTGTGTTAAATCTACAAAAAAAAAAGAATATCTAACCAATCTGAGGTCATGCAAGGTTAGGAATCCTCTCGGAAATCGCATTGTCTCTATAATTAAAGGGGACTAACTGAATATTCAGAAATGCTTTGTGGGTTTATTACAGAATGAATCGTCTAGAGAGTAATATCCTGTAACAGATAAGGTGCCAGGACTGTGAGAAGGCCCCATGTTCCATATCAGAGGATTATCTAGTTGACCTTTGAACCTTAATCCTGAGGATTATTCCCAGGGAGAGGCAATTCCCACTAATATGAGACCAATGTCTACCTGAATTAGTCCAAAACGACACTTGACCCTCTCAGGTCACTCTTAATCCAGGCCGTGCAAGGCCGGATGTGGCTGAGACTGAATGGTGCGACCCACTTCTGTCACTGTTTGTGGGGGGTTTTCTGCTGAGAGACGCAAAACAGATATGCCTTAATGAAAATAAAAGGCTCAGCAGCCTTGAAACCCTCCCGTTTTCCATCACCTTCCAGCTCTGTTTTAACCAAACCTCCCCACTTTTCACCTCCCCCTTCCAAGATAGGGCTTGTGTCAGAGTTTGTAGACCAATTATATCCTTGTAGGTGTACCCATCAGATGATTGCTGAGGGAGGGATATTATGTTAAGCTGGTGAATGGTTTAACTAAAAGCCCGATCCGACGTCTCTGCCTCACTTCAAAGCAATCAGGCAGGTTTCTGGCTGATTGGCCAAGGTGATTGAGGGTTCAGGGAGGACATTTTCTTTCTAAACGTTAATTACCGTTGTGACTGAACCAACACACGGCAGACTGAAGTTTGCATGTGTGTTTTTGTTTGTGCAAGTGATGGCTGAGTAAGAAAGGGACCTTAAGCCCCTTGAGCCTATCCAAGTATTTCTCACTTGTATTTTTTAGTGGATTTTCTATCAAACAGCTGCCGTATGGCTGGTTAATATGGAGGGAAACAGGTTGTTTTAATGTTCAGAAACACACCTGTGCATTACAGTAGGCAAAAGTGACAATGAACAGACGTGCCAGCAAGGGAAATAAGTCATTCACCAGGAAGTTGCAGTAATCCAGCCACTTCAAACTCTGTCTACAAAGAAATAAACAAAGCCATCATAAAGCCCTCTTTATCCCTCAATGACTATTCCCATAAATGCTTTAATCACCACTCCCTGGGGGCTCAGCGTTGTGAGTTTGTGTGGGTGGGTGGGTGTGTGTGTGACCGTCCTGTGATGTCCGACTGGTCTCGGCTGCGCACAGATGGGTCTATTTAGCTGCCAGGCGCGCCTGTAATTTACCAACATTCGTTCTCCGCTCCTCTCTTTTCTCCCTCCTTCTCCCTCACTCTTGTGTTTTGTTCTTTTAATTGAATTGCGAGCCACTGATCACAATAACTCTCAGCTGCAGTGAGTGTACATTGTCAAGCAACACTCCAGCGATACATCCCTTTATACTGTATGTAATCTTCAAACTTTAAACAGGCTGTCAGGGAAATTAGTGTCAGTTGGGTGCAACAGCTTAAACATACTTAAGTCTCTTTTTCTTTTTCTTTTTTTACTTTTTTGCGTTTTCCAGTTGTCTGCCCGTTTCTCTGCTGAAAAACTATTGGGTGAGGAACAAGAAGGAGCTGGTTTTGTTTTAGTTCCAACTCATACACAGTGGAGGATTTGGAGCCTGAAAGCATTAGAATGTGGGAGAGAACTGGAGTGTGTGTAAAGCCCAAGTCTCTGTGCGAGTGCATTTTTCTATGTGGATCTCTCTTAGCATAAAGGTCTCAGAGGGGAAATGAGTCAAACTTTTGATGGGTTGTTGAGGTCTCACATCAGATTAACTTCAGGAATTCAGCCTCAGCTCGGACTTCCCTTGCCTGCTTTTCTTGCTGTGTACTGTTCTGACATTTCTTTCATTCTTGGGAAATTTGGACCAGTTTATCGTTCCCTCTCTGTAGTACATTCTTAACCACAACCATCCCAGGCCAACACATGGTTAAAGTACAGGAAACTGAAATATTTGACAAGTGCAGTTGTTCATTTTGGAGGTCTGACGGCTGGTGGAGGACAGAGTCAGATGACCCACATATGACTCCTTTGAGACCCCAAGACGTCTGGTATTTTTTGAGGAGAAATGACCGTTGGATTCTCAAAATCAAGATCCACATGTTAGATGACCCACTTCTGCAACAATCCCGTTCTTCAGAGGTGCTTTTGATAGTGATGTCACCTCCAATGAACATCTGTGTGACTCATTGAACTTTTATGGATCTGACAACACAGAGCATTCAAAAGTAACTCAAAAAGATGCTTACAACCTAATACATTATGATCTTGAAATAGCATATTTTTGCTGAGAGGGACAGAATGTGCATAATGAGGTTAATGCAGATAAACACAGATTTCTATGCATTTAGATTACATTACTCATGTGGTCGGACAGCTGTAAAGATGACGTGCTCACAATTTAGAGGTTAAAGTTTCAGTATTAAGATGATGACAGGAGCTCAGAGCAAATATGGTGGTCCTATCATCCTTTCCCACAGACAGACTCATTCAGTTTGTGTTTATTAGTGTTGGTAAGTGTATGACCTAAGAAATTCTGTTATCCAGCATGTGGCGACATCAAATATCTAAAGACACTGAAACCAAATTGGTTTATTTTCCTTTTATTTCAGGAATATAACTATTCTGTGTGTATTCATGTGTGTCAAGGGTGTAAGCATGTATGTGTGTGTTGATAGAAATGTTTTCCTGCTCATGCGAGAAGTGTTCTAAATTACAGCCTTAGTCAGAAGTGGAAACAGATGGTAGCAGATGACGGGAGACAAAGTAGCTCTGTCCTACCTACCCGTACTCTCTCTTTCTCCACATGTCTCTCGCTGGGTCTCTTTCTCATACACACACTTCAAGCTCTTCAGCCCTAAATCACATATTGGCTTTAGAAAAACGTGCTCTCTCTGTCCACATGTGCAGCATGGACAAAGACATTCCTTCAGTCATCTTGACACAGATCATCACTCATATTCAGCCAGACATGAAAACAGAACACGCAGGCTTAGTGTTGGTTTGCACTAAACCACAGTTCACTGAGCCTAGGCCTAGTTTTCCCTCTAGCAATGTTTGAACCAAGATCTTCTTTGTCCTTTTAGTAATGAAGACACACGATTACATCTGGGTGGTTCTGTTGTTAAGATGGTTACGCGCTGCTGGGTGTTGTAGCTTTACATCCACTTGGGCTTCGATTAGAGATTTATTATTTAGTTTAGATTATTTCCAACTCCATACATGAGTTCCTTTTCAGCCCACATGTCTTTATTTTGCCACCAAAAGGATTATTCACCCTTTTTCCAATCCATTTTAAATCTTTTTATGTCTTTTTTTGGTTATAGCTTTTCTTCCTTTTCTTATTTTAAATTACTCTACATTTACATCCCAGCCTCTCCTTTCTTTGATTCTCCTCTCAACCGTCTTCCTGCCATTAACTCAATTATTTTATTTTGCTCTCCATCAAAAAGAAAAAAAAATCATCAGCTGATTATGAAACCCTGGATCAGTCTAAAAAAACGTGTTTGTAATGCCAAAACGACATCAGTCTCTTTCTCATCCTCAGTGGGAGGAGATTAGTGTGATGGATGAGAGGAACACCCCGATGAGGACCTACCAGGTGTGCAATGTAATGGAAGCCAATCAAAACAACTGGCTGCGGACTCGGCACATCAGTCGGGAAGGAGCACAGCGTGTCTACATTGAGATCAAGTTCACCCTAAGAGACTGTAACAGCTTGCCGGGGGTGCCCGGCACCTGCAAAGAGGTCTGCCCCATTGTACACACTGCAGATAACACACAAAAGGGCTTTCTGACACATGGACAGGATGGGAGCTTAATGGATAGATAAGGAAGGAGCCTTTGCTACTGCTACATGTTTCTAAGTTCCCCCTCTTGCTCTTGTGCTAATTTGCATTGGCTGGTGGTGAATGAAACAACGAACTCTGACCCATTCCAGTCTGCTCTTTGAAGGAAATGTAGGGGGGGAAAAAACCTCTTTGTTCTAGAGCAACGATCGATATATCCGATTAAAAACATGATGAAGGCAGACTTCACCTTGCTTGTTATGCACAGAATATGCCCTTACCTGTGTCATTTGGATTTTAATTAAAACTCAACATAAATCTGATGTTTTCTTACATATATTACATATTGAATACAAAATTAAGAAGATGAGTCATTTTGATTTACATTTATTATTATATATTTTTTCTTGAACCAGACTCAAAGTACAGTTTCTCTGTGTTGTATTAGGTTATCTGTATATTGTCTAATCAATTCCACATTTTCACTTTCATCACATACTCAGAAAGAGCGTGGAATCTTAAATAACTAATAAAGTGTAGAGCTGCACATACAGGTCACTGTAGAAAACACTTGCTGATTGACTATCTAGACAGATTAATTGAATTTTTAGGAAATGCAGATAAAAAGTGAGACAAGAGTTGACATTTTGTTAATATTTTGTCTCATCACTTCACATTTATCCAAACTGACAACTGATGCCCTGTTTGTTTGGCAGACTTTCAACATGTTCTACTATGAGTCCAACAATGCCAATCTTTGGTTCATCAAGGAGAGCCAATACGTCAAGATTGACACTATTGCTGCAGATGAGAGTTTTACACAGGTATGAACACACACACAAACACACACACATGTCATATCTCCTTTTACATCACCAGCACTAGATATGCAAAATAAACCACACCAGAAAAATAAAGATTTCCTCTAACAAACTTCTATTTTGAAAGTGAATGAAACCAGTTTCTCATTGCAGTTATTTGTTTTCCCACTATGTGTATCTTTCTCTCTATATATAGATAAAGTTTTTATGATTAAGTTTAGTTTTTGGCAAAGAAATAAAAAATGGAGGAATACTAGCATTCCAAACTAAATAAACTCTATTTCATACACAGTAAATTAAACTGGGGTTTGAATCGAGCTTATCTTATTCCATTTGCTTACAAAATTGTCAGGACTGAGGGCATCATTATTTTAATTTTGGGAATGCAGTCACTTTCAGGCAGGATTAATTTGAATGCCTGTTGGATGAACTCTTACATGAAATATATCTCTCTCCACAGGTGGATGTCGGGGACCGTGTCATGAAGCTGAACACGGAGGTGCGAGACATCAGCAATTTGAGTAAAAAGGGTTTCTACCTGGCCTTCCAGGACCTGGGCGCCTGTATCGCTCTGGTGTCAGTCAGGGTCTTCTACAAGAAATGTCCCCTGACTGTGCTTAACTTGGCTCAGTTCCCCGACACAATAACAGGGGGAGACACAGCACTGGTTGAGGTCCACGGTGCGTGTGTGAATGCCTCGGAGGAGTTCGAAGCTCCCAAGATGTACTGCAGCGCAGATGGAGGCTGGCTGGTTCCCATTGGGAGGTGTGTGTGCAAACCTGGCTTCGAGGAGAACAAGGACGTCTGCCAACGTGAGTTGAGAGGGCCTGCTACAGTTACAGAATAATGAACAAAAAAACAATGACATGTTTGTATATCTGTTGTGGCTCAAAGTAAAACCGAGTATGCTTGACAATCTGTTTTAGTTTAATCAGTTCTCTGAAATACTGACCTACTTTTGGAATGAAAAAAAAAATCCTATGAAAATATACGATTCTTGCAAAAATGCTCACGTCGTGAAAATGTCAAGAGTCAATGTCATCAAATTATTATACAAATCTGTGTGTGTTCATGAGGTGGAGATGCTTTGGTACATTTAGTGCTGGGACTAAGAGTAGACTGCTGAGTAGTCTATATGTTTACTTCATGGGTTTACTTTGTTCTTGTGTGTGTGAGTGTGGGTGTCTGTGTGTGTGTGTGTGTGTGTGTGTGTGGGTGGATGGGTGGATGGGGATCATCACGCCCAACACAGTAAGCAGAGCTCTTACAGAAAAAAAAAGTAGGATTGGCTTTGAGCTTTGAGGCATCTCCTCTTTTTATTTGTGTGTGTTTGTCAGAGCTGAATATCTTATTTTTCCTCCTTTGTGGTGCTGAGTAGCATGAGTGTGTGTGTGCGTGCGTGCGTGTGTGTGTGTGTGAGACATTGCCTATTGATGTGTGTTGTGTAGTAGAGGGAAAAGGAAAAGGTATGCCTTTGGAAGTAGATTATTGAGTTGTAAAACTCCCCAGATGGTGTGTGCAGTAAGCGTGTGAGTTAGTGTGTGTACGTACGAGTGTGCGTACTGTGAATGCATGCATTTGAGTGAGAAAGATGAATTATGCTCATGCTGTCACCTGTCTCCAAGGACTCAGCTCCTTTCTGAAAAGAAAATGGAGTCATAGATATTCATCTCCGCAGACATGAAATCGGCGAGCACAACGCCATTTCACTTGTTTTGGGGGAAGCAGCAGCTAAGACGCCCAGAAAACTTGGCAGTTGGGCCTTGGAGACTAATGAATAAGAACAAACAGTGCTCTGCAGTTTGCAGACTGGTAATGTGCACAGATTGTGGCAGAACGCTGGCGGCGTTTCAATCATGAAACATAAACTGCTGAGCTCCATGTCTGTCTTTCTGTCTGTCTTTTTGTCTGTGGCGGTCGCGTGATAGGTGATCTCATCGGCAGGTGATCAAATGATTCTGCTGCCTTACCGTCCTTGTCGCATTGCCTGTTTTGAAACTTACATATTCAAAATCATCCTGATGAAGCAAAGTGGTTGACCTCAGTGATCTCCATGATCTAATCAGTCTGCTCTTTAAAGTCTTATGACTCCAGAAAGAAAAACTACAGCAATGTCGGAGCATTTAACAATCTAGTTTTAACCTAATAACAGTATGCATGAATGTGTGTGTGTGTGTGTGCTCGAATCATGTGGTGGAATAATGACAGACTCTTATTGACAGTCTAAGGTCAAAGGCCAGGAGATATAAATGTCAGTTGTCTCATAAGTTATGGTCAAATAGATGTAGTGTGGACACTGGATTTACGTGGCGAAGGAAAAACAGGTGCTGAGATTGTTTAACACAGAAGCTAAAGTCTGGTTTAACCTAATTGGTCATATTGTTTGATGTAATTACTCTGCAAACAAGCAAAAATAATTTTTTGAATTATTTAATTCCTTTGTGGTTAACTGAAGCTTCTTTACCATGGGGATGCCAATGACACCTACTCAATATTAGGAAAACTGTTGTTTGTACGATTGTGGGAAGAATTTGCACAGCAATAAAATTACCACACCACACATCAGAAGAATTTGCTGTCCCACGTATGTCAGCCCAACAAATCTCATGCCTCTTTGTTGCCTCTGAAATAACACTAAATTCACACCCCCTTAACAATGTTTCCTTTGTTGAAAATAGCTTTGATTTGATTTTGCCTGCACTTGCCTCAATTTTGATATCGTTTCCCCTCCATATCAGAATCCACTTAGCTAGCTGATGTAAATGTATCAATAATCAACCTCTTTTTAACAGGCAGATTCCTAAAAGGCGTAACAGGCCGGAGTGAAAAAAAACACCAGCCTAGTACCCTTGCTCTTTAATTTGCCCCTAAAAGAATAAGTGCCATGCTTTCAGAGTCCTCTGAGTACGCTGCATCAACTTCAAACAAAAGGTTCCTGCCCTGATGCAGTCTGGTGTTCCTCTATGGGAACAACACACGCTGCTAATGCATTTAAATGATCCTTTCTCATTTTATGTCATAAAAAGGAGTGAAGGGGTGAGGTCCGGGAGAGAAATACATAAAGGATCAGAACGGTATCTGTAAATCATCACGCTGGCGCTCAAGTCACTTAATGGATGGCTTGAATTCTCTTGTTCTTGTTCTTCTTGTGGGTGCTTATTTTCTGCCATTCAATGACTCTGATGCTCAGAGATGTTTTCTGATGTTCTGTGTGAGCCGCACTAGTCTTTTGGCCTCTCTATATCACTCACCTTCAACCCCTCTGCCTCTCATTCTCTCTGTCTCTCCCTCTGCTCCTCTGTCTTTCTGTCTCAGTGTGAAGCGCTAATGGACTCATTACTAGCCTCTCTATGTTAGACAAACAACAGACACCTCCTAAGAGAGCCTTTTTTAAGCAATCTCTGGCTTTTTCCTGTGTTATTTTCTAACCGGGCCCTGCTGTCTGCTTCTATAATTAGACTGTTCTCCACCTCTCGCTCTTTATGTGCCACCCATTTTGCCTCTCACCCATCTCGTCTGGTGTTGTCTTCCTTTTTCACCTCATCATTTCTCTCTTCACTGTTCTCCTTCTTCACCATGCAGCCCCAATCTTTTCAGTCTGCACTTGTTAAACATTTATAGATCACAGGCTCAACTCTCTTTTCCAACCCAGCGTTTCTTGATCCCTTGAGGGAAAGTGTGTTTAAATGTGTGTATGTGTTTTGATGTGATTAATGGTGGACACGGAAATAGGTCCAATATGACAAACTGTTTCTTGGCTAAAAAGGAAGTCACTTACACAGAGAGAGAGACACGTCTTTCTGGCATAAACAGAGCAGGAATCAATGGACTGTGAAACAGGATATAATAGTTTTAGTGGAAAATGTGGTCCTAATTTGCAGAGACATAAGAACCAACAAACTACAAGGTTAGAACACCCCAGTCAACATGATTTGATTCCAAGTTATCGCTAACTAATGTTCAAATGATGTCATACTGGCAAATGCTGTTCCTTCTAAGAAATATCATTAATGCACAAAGACAGTTACCAATATAACTTCCTTGGTTCTTTTGTCTTCTTCTGGTATTTAATACAAGACATTATAATATTACCAAAGATAGAAACTAATTCTAGCCTACATTTCACAAGATGCATTGTTGGTCAACCCCTCATCAGAACAAGACAGAAATCCATATCCACTCATACTTAAACTCAGCTAAAAATTGGCATGTTAACTCTTATGGATCATGATTGTGGGAGGAAATCAGGCATTCATACACAAGGGGAACATGAAAAAGCCCTACGAGAAAGACACTGGATGAGGTTGCGCTGCCAATCTATACATATGCAGTCTTCCTTCCACATGTTTTCAAATATTTGAATGACATGTCTTGTTAAAAAAAAGGCTTCATTATAGCAATTTCAGAAGTGTTTGACAACTTGACATTTCAGGTTTTTTAGGTTGTTTCTCAGAGCGTACGACAATGTGAAAACAAAAAGGTGCAGATGTATGAGATAAGCAGCCTGCTCGCAGGCTGAAACCAGTAGTCAAGGCCCACTGCAGATAACTGACATTTTCCAAAGAAAAGGTATTTTTATCAAAGACTAAAGTACAGATACAAAGTATTTTTAGGAGAATAGTACATCAGACTTTATACAGAGTAAACTTAACACAGCCCAAATGGTAGACTTTGGCCATAAAAGTGACAGTCTTTATAAGATCTGTTAATTGTTGGTTATTAGTCATCGTATAAAACGCAAAAGTCTGTGTTTAAGCAATTTCCCATCTATTTCTTTTCATTTATGAAAATGTCCTTGTGCATTATTTAATGTGGTGTTTTGTCTCTACACTAAAGACACTGTTTTGGAAGACCATGGGTTCTCTGCTCAGTCACTTGAAATCATGCTCATCTGCTTCGTCACTACTGGGGTTGCGTAATCTCCCTCACTGTGATTCATATACACACTCCTTTCCTCTCTGTCACATTCACACACTCTTGTCACTTCTCTTCCATCTCTCTCCACCTCATGTCCGGGTCGCCCCTCTGCCTCACTCCTTCCCCGGCTTTCCTTTTTTCTCCCTGTTTCTCTTGTGTATTTTCTTCCTGTTCTGTCTGCCTGTCTGCCTTACATGTCTGCGTCTGCCACTGTTTCTACCACTGCCTCCATTTCCACCTCGTACTCCATTGCCTTCTCCCGCTGTGTCTGTCTCTCACATCATGTAGGGAATGTGGTGAATACTCTTCCCAAACCTCTCTTGCTTTAAGCCCTAGGGGTGCATGCTGAAGGGCAGGAGTGTGTGTGTGTGCGTGTGTGTGTGTGTGTGTGTGTATACATCTCTGTCCGTGTGTTTGTGCATTATGTCCTTCACTGTGTGTCTGACGGCACAAATTACTGCCTCAGATGCCAGAGAGACTGAGGAGATGGAGTAAAGAAAGGACAGACACCTGTCACCTCCACAAAAGTTTTCTTCCTCTCATCTCCTGTTTCTCTCTCTGAGTGAGAAATGTAATAAGGGTCAGCGTGACATGTCTATCTGTATGCCTGCCAGCTGGCTGCAGCTGTCAAATGGTCTCCTTTTTCCTTTTACCCTATTCATATTTCTGTTTGATGCAACCAGCATGAAGCAAAAACTTACTGTAGATTACAAGAGGAACCTTTCAAAGTCACATCACTGATTCCACTTAGATCTCCTGCTGTTCTTTCCACTCCTTAAAGTGCAAAGCCCTCGGTAACAAGTCCACTGTGCATCTGATTTTGTAAGAAGTGTCCGATCAGCTGTTGTAGATCCACAGCACTGTGATGCAGATGCAACAACTTTAAATTACAATGTTTCCATGTTGCAAATAAATTACAGCCAGTACAGG